ATAAAATCAGTTCCTCCTCTTCCTGCCAAATACATAACTTAACAGGCAACCTCTAAACTATGCATGCAGGCATCTGTTTCGCGGCAATCAGTGTTGCCAAGTCAATCATGGCATTGACTTCCGGCTCCAGAAGTCATTGCTGTAAATAGACTTCAGACAACGTAGGCAGACCACAGATAGGGAAACGTGCTGACTTTTATCTGATGTTGACTACTTTGAGGCTGCTGAACAGCACCTCTGCTGTCATGGACCTTTTGTTCTGAAGTGAACCTGTTTCTGACCTCTGACCACTTCCTGATGATTGGAAGGGCTTAACTTAATAACCACCTGATCAAATATTTTACCGGGTAGCTTGTCTTGTCATTCAGCTTAGATCACTAGCTCACTTGATTTCTTGGATATGCTGTTTTGACCCACTGCTTCAAGAAAAATGATTGACGGACCATGTTTAAAAAAAGTTACCTTCTCAGAACTGAACCTTCATTTTTATTTTTCTCATTTTTGGTCAGAACTATGAGCAGTGAAGATTAGTCCTGGTCTTTGAGCAGCAGCCTGTTTTTTGGAAAGATCAAACAAACTGATATTTGTTTGTGGAACTTTTCCTGGGAGATTAAATGCAGGTTCATTTTTGTTTAAAGAGTACTGTAGATGTTTCGCCTCTAAAGATGCATTATGCTCAAAGGCTGGAAAATGCTTGGATGTTGAAAGGAGGCTGGCACTGAACAGTCTAACAAAGAATGTTGACAAAATAAGAAAGAAACCAAAGTCTGAATTGTGTTTTTAGACAGAGAAGCTGTAGCTGTAAAAGCTGCTGGAGGAAGTTTTGCTTGCTCTCCAGTTGTCCTCCTGTTATCGTTTTATTGAAGTTTGCAGAATATAGCCCCACGTATAAGAAATAAGTGAATAATATTCCTCAGAGCCTACTGGAAGCTATTTGCATTGACTGGTGTTGTCATAAGTCAAACAAGATACAAACCCACATGCCTGTGGTACTACACCTAGTTGAAACTGCTTAAGTGAGCTAGCTAGTTACATCTCTTTTATTTTTCTTTAAATTTATCACTTAACTGTGTCTGTCTGTGAATGAGTGGGGAAATGTTCAAAGAAGATTCGATTTAAATCATAGACATTAATTAGACTACCCAGTTGTTTCAATTTTACGGTATTATAAATACAGGGATAGGGAGGCTAATTCTGTCTGGCTTTCTGTCCTGTGACACTATACCTGAGAGTGTGTGTCAGAAGCAGCTAATTCACATTGCACTAACTATGTATGCATTGTACCTTTTAATGGGTTGTATCAATGTGAATTTTCAGTTCAATAGTTAAAGATTGTGACCTTTTACGTTATCAAAGGAAATTTTTCAGTTTTATTGGAAGAATGTAGTTGGTGAAAATCAAACTCAAGTGGGCTGAAGTAAATCACTTGTCAGATTCTTAGACTGATCTGTCACAACTTCTAAAGAAACATGCCATTATTTTCAGTGAGCATGTGGGAAGCATGGGAAAAATCTTTGTCAAATTGAAAATCAAGATCGAAAATCAAGCAAAATGTTGCAAGACTGAATCAGTGCCTTATGTAATCAGACCAGAAATCAAGGCAGAATTAGAGAGGCTGGTTAAGACAGAAGTCCTTCAATCCATGAGTGATTAGGCCATGTCTATCATATAGAAGATGAAGAAAGTTAGATCGATATGCACCTGTGGTGATTTTAATGTCACTATTAATCCGGTATTGTGTGCTGAGCAGTATCCTTTAATCTAAGACCTATTGCTGGACTAGCTAGAGGTCAGCTTTTCAATAAAACTGACCTTAGTTGAGCCTATCTCCAGATGAATGTAGATCCTGAGTCACAGAAATACTTGACAATTGTAACACACAATGGACTATTCAAATACAAGAGACTTCCATTTGGAATCTCATCTGTACGTGTTACTGTGCATGGATCAGATTTTAAGTTGATTAGAACTAATCCAGTGTTACCTAGATGATACTTGACAGTTTAAGAGTCCAATCATGTGAAGGAATCATGACTGCTGGAAGCTCTGTTTAAGCTTGCTGCCTGTAGAGCGAACACCTCGATAATAAAGCTGCTGTTTAATACTTCCACTTTCTAGTCCTTCTTGAAACTTAATTTCTTAGAGGTATTCAAAATTGAGGGAACTTGGTAGGACAGAAGGACAGAACTTGGTAGGAGTGAGGAGCGAGTAGTCCAAAAGAAGAGACATAATAAATACTTAGTAAATATTACATATATCCTTGTAATCTATTTAATAATCTAATGTATTTAATTATTAAATTATTGTTAAATTTTTACTAAATAAATCCTGTAAGGAAATTAGGGGAAACTTAATGAGAATATGTAACTTGTTACTACCTGGAGTAGGTGAGCAAAAGGGCATAAGTGTTGCAGAGAAGGGGAGGTCAAATGAAAGAAATTCCCTGATATTCATTTTATAAGTAACAAGTAACAATTTATTTATTTGACCCTAACAGTGAACAAATTAACAGAACTACTAACAAACCAAACAATTCCCCATCCCACCTCCAACTCCCAGCTATTCCCTAACTGAACAAATATGTGGAATTAAAGAGTCTAATGATGGCCATGAATCCAGTGTCGGTTGTCAAGAAAAACACATCTGGTTCACTAACGTCTTTTCGGGAGGGAAACTGTCGACCTTACCTGGTCTGGTCTAGATGTGACTCCAGACCCACAGCAATATGGTTGACTCTTAACTGCCCTCTGGGCAATTAAGGATGGGCAATAAATGCTGCCTGGCCAGCAATGCCCTCATCCTGTGAATGAATAAAGAAAAAAAGTTCTACTGCTACTCCATTCCAATAAACATAAGTCCTACTTGTATAATCCAAGTAGTAAGAAAAAAATAAACAATTTAAACCTTAAGTCTCTCAAAGTCCACACAGAATGTGTCTTCTGGAATGCACTGCTTTCTACACTGTCTGTCCAGTCATAATCGCCTTTCTTCTGCTGTTCTCAAGTCATAACCGCCTTTCTTCATCTGATCCTGCTGTCAGGGATGTTTTCTCAATGAAGACTCTTAGCTAGAAGTGCTGTGGTACCTTTTATGGATAAGATGGTTCTTTCTTAGAGAGCTTAGTGATTTCTTGTGAGAGCTAGGTGCTTATTTTTCAAATGGTGGTTCGCTCTCACACCAATTTTCAAAAACCTTCTTACATACCTTGGATGACATATCAATTTTATTACAATAGCATAGGTCCGAGGTTGTCAAAACCATCAGATTTACATTCACCTGGCTTTCCATCACTAAGTGCTTGGTTTAAATTAATTGGCTGATTCCAGCTAGTTGCCAAACATCAAAACTAGCCTAACGTTTCCAATCACACAGCCAATTGATACATGTTTCAATTTCCGAACTGGTTGTACTGGTTCAGCTACATATAGATGCTGTTTTTCTCTGTATAAATCTCTCAGCTTGGAAAGCACTTTATCTCTTAAAGGAGCCACACACTCTACACAACTACGTAACAGTAAGTGCATAAGGGTTTAGCTAAGTAGATGAGGGAGGAAGAAATCAGAAGGATATGTTGATCACCATGTGGTGAGGAAGATTGAGCAGGTTCACATAGAGTGTGAGCACCACAGGACAAATTACCAGTTTCTATGATGTAAGATTATATGCAATGTAATAATAATGATTAAGCAGAAGTTTTGCAAATCAGTGAATGTTTTATGGATGGTACATTTCTCTCAAAGTTTCATTCTCTAATGCATATGTCAGAATTTAAATGTAGCAGTTTACAATTTCAGCATAAGATTTTCTCATTTACTGGGAAAATGCTTGCAATTTGGGATATTGATCAAATGGGTCAATGAGCTGAAAAATGGCAGATGGAGTTCAATCTCGATAAATGCAAGGTATTGCATATTGGTGCAACAAATGAGGTAGGACTTGTATAATTAACGATAGGGTCTTGGGTAGTGTTGTAGAACAGAGGGACCTAGAGTTTCAGGTATATAATTCTTTGAAGTTTGTGTCACATATAGACAGGGTGGTTAAAAAGGCATTTACACACTTGCCTTCATTGCTTAGTCCTTTGAGTTTAGGAGTTGGGAAATCATGTTGAAGTTTTACAGGACTTTGGTGAGGCCTCTTCTGGAGTACTGTGTCTAGTTCTGGTTGTCCAGTTATAGGAAGGATATTATTAAACTGGAAAGGGTTCAGAAGACTTATACCAAAATGTTGGCAGGTATGGAATGTTTGAGTTATAAAGAAAGACTGGATAAGCTGGGACTTTTTTCACTGGAGTGTGGGAGGTTGAGAGGTGACCTTATAGAGGTTTATAAAATCATGAGGGGTGTAGATAGGGTTAATGGTAGGTGTCTTTTCCCTGGGCTGGGGATTTCAAAACTAAGGCACAGATTTTTAAGGTGAGAGGAGAGAGGTTTAAAAAGACATGAGGAGCAAAATTTTTTTTATAGCAGGTGGTTTGCATGTGGAATGAACATCCAGAGGAAGTGGTGGATATGGGCACGGTTACAACATTTAAGAGACACTGGGATAAGTGTATGAATAGGTAAGATTTTGAGGTATATGGGCCAGGTGCAGGGAGTTGGGACTAATTTAGTTTGGAATTAAGTTCGGCATGCACTGGCTACACCGAAGGGTCTGTTTCCATGCTGTATGGCTCTCTTGAACCTTGTAAAAAGGATACTATTTTCATTGAGCAAAGCAGTTTGTAACACTTCCATTTTGGGATTTGTGGATTATTGGCTCAGGAATTAAAGCACAAATCAATTAATTGGGTCCAAAGACTTTCTGCCTGGTCTTTGTGTTTTCAGGCTTTTGTATGATATGTGAGAAACTTAAATACATATCCACTTGCAGGTGAACTAGCTACTGTGTAGGCAATAGGCTTTGTTAACTTACAGTCCAAATTGAAATTGATTGCATAGATAATTTTCTCATCACATTTAAAAAAAAATTATCTTTTTTCCTGTTGTTCCTACAAACAGGAAGTCCCAAGACCACTTCTGGCATTGAATGGTGTTGGAGGTAAAAGTGCTACAGAGATCTTGCGGCATTTAATGTGAGTAACAAGACTTCAGCAGACAAGGTTACCACTTTGATTTAAGGATATGCCAATTACAGCAGAAGGAATTATAATGGGTTCACCTGAAAGCTATACTTCTTAAATGAGCCTGAAAAGCATGTTGATAAGGAGTTGCTCATGAGTTTGTGAATGGGATCCTATCAGAGACCTTTTTCTTGTATTAAAACTTTTATTCGTTGACCCAAACTGATGCCAGCTGTTTTTTTTTGTTATGTGTATTCCATTGTTCGCTATTGCATCACTGCAATTACTATCTACAGTTCACCTTCTCATCCTTGTAGTTTTTAATGCTCAAATTTTATTTTACATGGATCCCTTGAAACTGATTGTTGTAGCACAATGCAAGTGCCCTTGCTGGAGCATAACACGTAATAGTTGTGACTATTTGAGCTTTGAAATATAGGAACCAGTGGTCAATGGAGTTGAGAACACACGGAGCAAAAAAGTAACAACTGATTTGGTGAATAACAGCAAACTTTATAAATTCTGTACTTATCAATGATAATATTATTTTGTTCACTAATTACAGGCTTGTTTAGAAATGTATATTTTTCATATATTTTTTGTTGCCAACACACAGTCTTTGTGTCTTTTAATTGCAGGAAAGGAGGGACTATAGTAACATACGGTGGAATGGCAAAACAACCGGTCATAGTTCCAGTGGTAAGGAAGTTCATCTGTTTCAAAGTACAAAAATTTTTGCATCATTGGATCATTTTCCTCTGGTCTGTGTGCAGTAATTTGGCTAACAAATATAGAAAGATCTTTTTCTCGGAAAACAAGTGATTTTGCTCAAAATACCTGCTATCTATTCACAGAAGCACAAAACAAAACAGCCAGACAAAAATCAATCCCACTGATCTCCTCAAAGCAAACAGCAACTCTAGCTAAGCAACTTGCTTTCTGATCTGCACCAGTGGCACTCTGAATAACTGATAATGTTACAACTATAAGAAAACATAAGATAGATTCTCACTGACATTTAGCACTTTTTGTTTTGCACTTGTATAGCTGTACACCAGCTTTTAGTGATACATGTGCATGAATCCCTTTCCTCCTCCATAACACTTGAGTTTTTCACAGTTCAACACAAAAATGTATTTCTCAAATTCAAAGTGGACGGCCTCCTAATTTATCACATTACATTCTATTTGTCATCATTTTGCCTACTCATTTAATCTATGTCTCCCTGTAACTTCCTGTTACCATATCCATATCAATTAATTTAGTCATCTGTGAACTTGAATATATTCCTTCACCAAAATTATTAATATATATGTCAGTAAGCAAAGACCAGATGTGTGGAGAACATCAATTGTTACACCTTGCCATTCAGAAGATGCCTTTTTCTCCCCTCAACCATGTTTATAAATTTTATTCAAGACCCTTGCCATGACCGGACATCTGTGAGCCTGCAACCTACAATTCCATTGTGCAAGTGTTCAGTCATTAAATTTTATTAAGTTATCAGCCCGTTTAGTACTTGTGGCACTTCAGTATGTCAGTGTTGTTTCTCTGCTTTCTTGAGCTCTTCTTTAGGAAACTCCTTTCCTATTGTGCTTATACCTGAGATTGGATTTTCATGATTTAATATCAAGTGCATGCTGCATTAACCAATAAGCATAATCTATTAAAAGACGTACCGATACCAATGCTGTCTCTTTGTGTGTTCTTATTCTTGGATATTAATTTAAAGCTCCCTGTTGTCTGTTTTAACTGCTGTGGAACTCAGTGTTAATCTATTAAAGTGTTTCTTGTAATACAAATATGTTGCATCCCTGCTATTGATAACAGTTCTGATTTCAGCAGTAGCAAGTGTATAAGTCAGCAACACTGCTTCAAGACATGCTAAGTGCCACCAATATAAAATTTGGACTGTTACCTATGATAAACAAAGGAATTATTATACCTGATTCATGCAGTGATATAATTTTGAGTATGAACTTTGCTTAAGTTCAGAATGCCCACAGCAGTTTATGTAGACCTCATATTCAATACACTGATTTTTTAAAAATTTGAAATAAAGTTGAATTCACATAGTTCTACAACCTCTGGTTAATTGTCATATGTGACACCCTGAAAACAGATTTGATGTTCAGGTTCATCTGACGTGGTAACATGAATGTCCAATTGCATGATTACGAAAAGTAACATTGTAAAGGGCACCGACTTTGAATGGATTGCATACAGGAATGTGTAATAAATAAGATCTTTATCTGCTCTTCAGTCATTCTATGTGTGTTAATTTCAAACTTAAAAGTTGTTTAATTTAGTTGTAACTGGACTTCTGCATTTCTGTGAAGTGGTTTTGACCATAGTAACCCAGAAGTATTGTAACTCTGCCCAAAACTCTTGTCACTTTGGTTTGGCAACGATTTTGCCTTTACCTTAAACAAGTATATCTTAACGACCCTATGTGTTCCCTTAATATCTTGAAGCTTCAATCAACTTAGCACCAACCTTTTAAATTTCAGGGAATACAGCCTCAGTTTCACCCTGTAATTCAATCCTCAAAGTCCAAGTGTCATTCTAGTAAATCTATGTTGCAGTCCCTCCAAGGCCAGTATATTCTTCCCAAGGTGAGGTGCCCAGAACTACTTGTAGGACACTAGATGTCAAACCAGGAATTTGTAGAGCTGAAGGGTAAAGTCTGCTCTGTGCTTTCATTCTTCCATAACTTCTTTTGTTGAACAGCTTTTAAGTATTTTAATCTTAGGTAAGACCTAACAGAGGGAAGAATATTTCTGCCATTAAAAATGTTGGCATTGATGGAGTAGTTAAAAACAGGGATGTTCAAGAGACTGGATTGAAAGTGCCCATGCAAGAAGGCGGTTGTGGAACTGAGATAACAGAGATCAGGAGGGGTGAGGCAGTTGAAGGACTTGAAAAGAAAGATGAGTATTAATAAAATTGAGACATTGCATAACTGGGAACCAGTGTAGTTAAGTGAGCAGTGCAGGTACATAGGCAAGAGGGTTTTGGATCATCTCATGTTCATGGAAGTTACAACTTTTCATAGCCACTGTTTCCCTGTTGGGAAATTGTCTTGCACCGAGACACCGAGGTATATGGTTTATTCATTGAATTTGTTTCATTATGAATTTAATTGGGAATATATTTCATACTGCTGGCTGTGGGGGATGTTTATTCGTTCTTCTAATGTACCACTACCTTTTACAGTGTCTGAAATGTCAAGAACATTGCTTTGATTAATAGTAACATCTGGGAATGGATTTATATCTAATAGTTTTGATAAGTTTGAAATTGAATTATCCACGTGCAGATCTTTTCAAATGACTTAGAGAATTACCCTTTTAACAGTTTCCATTAAATTGCTTGGGGCATTGCTCATAATCATTTGAACAATATGAGCTTCTTTTAACATGGTGGTAGATTGGGAAATTTTAGAAATTTGCTCCATTGGGCCTCCCTGTGCACAGAGCTGTGCCTATGTGTGCCCAGTTTATACAACAAACTGGAATGATAAATCTCTACCGGGTAATTTATATTGGTAAATGTCGATGGCCAAAAATGTTGACAGACAATATGCGGCATTTTTAATGAAGTATATACTTCAGTATTCTTCCAGAGATTTTCCAAAGTTTAAACTTTAGTGAGCCGCTGGTCAGCTTTATTTGTTGGGGAACAAGTCTACTTCTGCAACTTTTTTTTTATTGATCTTTTTCAACAAATATTCCTTCCCCCTCCTTTTGAAAGTACTTGCTCATCCTGATTTTTCCTCGCGTGCTAACTGTCTCCCTTTGTAGTCCTTTTTCTTTCCTTCCTATGCAAGTGCATGAGCTCTTATGGTGTGGTGATAGTGTACCTGCTTCTGAGCCAGGAGGCCTGAGTTCAATCCCACCTGTTCCAGAGGTGTATTAAAATATCTCTGAACAGGTTGATTTAAAAAAAAATCTACCCCCTACCTTGACCATCCAATTCCACAAACGCTTGTTCCAGGTAAATTATTTGTAAGTATTTCAATTTAATATATATATTTTTAACTCTCTCCTGGGATGTGGGCTTTGCTGGCTGACCAGCATTTGTTGCCCATCCCTAGCTACCCTTGAACTTGCTAGGCCATTTCAGAGGGAAGTTGAGAGTCAACCACATTGTTTGCTGCTTATTATGGTCGCTCTCTACAATGGGGAGACAAAGCACAGTTTGGATACCAGTTTGTGGATTTGCTGCAGTCTGCAAGCATGACCTTCGCTTCTGGTCAACTGGCTCTGTCTATGACCTTTCTGTCCTTAGTGTCCTGCAATGTTTAGTGGAGGCCAAAGTATTCTCAAAAGGCATTATCTTTTGATTTGTTAAAAAACAAAACAGCCTAGCAACAACTTTATGTTAAGTAATTTTAAATTTGAACCTGCCCCAGTTTGTTTCCTTTTTCTCTGCAAATATTGACTTTTATTGATTTTTTTTTTTCTTTTTTGTGTTTTGATAGTACATGTCATGATTCTGCCATTCACCCCTCTACAGATGACTTTTGTTTCTTTACAGAAGCAAAATACTGCAAATGCTGAAAATCAGAAATAAAAGCAGAATTGCTAGAAGTATTCAGCAGGTCAAGCAGAATCTGAGAGAACCTTTCTACCATTTAATGTTTCTTGCTTTCAACCCTATTACAAAGTTTCCTGCATGACTTCTCTCATTGTTTCTTCTCTTCAAACCCCACCCACCTCAATGCCCAGTTCACTTGTTTAAAACTTGCAACATTACATCTTTCTCCACTTCTGTTGAAAAGCCATGGACCTGAAATGTTAATCTGCTACTTTCTCTACAAATACCTGCTGTATTTTTCGAGCATTTTGATTTCAGATAGCATTTTACAGTATCTCAGTCTGATGACTCTTCACATGCCAACCGGGGCCATTAAATAAATCAAGTAAATGGCCCCTGTTCCAAACCCCAAGCAGTGTCCTTGAAGGATGAACTGACTCTTGCCTTCTAGTCAAAATACGCTTAACTCAAATCAATCAGTGTTTGTATTTTGGAACCTAAGTCTTATTGGCTTTGTATAATGTAGGCATTTCAGATGTTTAAAATAAAGTATGTTACCTGACAGTTGCACAGAATTCCCTACTTTGTTTCAGTCTTGCCCAGCAACTTTCAAACCAGTGACTTCTACAAAGGCAGCAGTCACATGGGACCATCACCCTAGAACATAGAGCTGCACAGCACAGGAACAGGCCCTTTGGTCCACAATGTCTTCCATGCCAACCATGATTCCATTCTAAACGAAACCCACCTGCCTGCATGTGGCCTGTATCCCGATGTTCCATGCCTGTTCACGCATCTGTCTAAATGTCTTTTAAACATTGTTATCTTATCTGCTTTTATACCTCTCCTGGCAGCACATTCCAGGCATCTACCACCCACTGTGTAAAAAAAACCTTGCCCTGTATAGATAGTAGGAACTGCAGATGCTGGAGAATCTGAGACAACAAGGTGCAGGGCTGGATGAACACAGCAGGCCAAGCAGCATCATAGGAGCAGAAAGGCTGACGTTTCGGGCCTAGACCCTTCATCAGAAAAAGT